TTGTTGTTGTAGTCCTGTTCACACTGTGTCTTGTCAAAGTTACAAAACAAGGTGTTGCTTTCATAAAACTATAGTCAATATAAATGATAAATGGTGAAAATAGGTGTCAAAAAGAGTAATCAGCTAGAAGATCATTTGCCACTAAAATGATACCATCACCCTCAGAATTGTGTCACCTTTTATTTTTGCTTCTTGTCCACATCAGCTTCTGAATTGCCAGTACATGGTATTATTGTTCATAACTTAAAGAACTTGAGAAAAGCACAAGACTAAACATTTAATTATATTCTGATCATGCTGTTCCCAGAACAGGATGCTCTTAATTGGACCACCCTGTTCCTGCATCTTCTCAAAAATGATTCCCCAGCATGGGCTGTATCAAGGGAAACACATGAAAAACACAGACTGGGGAAACTTAATGATCCCCTCCACATATGCGTTTAGAAATATATACTATAATCTGCTTGGAACAATAATGTATGTCTGTTATGTGTTTTTCCAGAATCTACGAATATGTAGATTGTGTTAGTTTCTAAAATTTTCTGCTGGACACAAGATGTCTCCTACTTCACTGTAAACCGGTGGCTTCAAGTTTCTACATACTACTGTATAAGTTGCACACTGTTTAGTCCAATTTGTCATGTCAACAATCACACTCATAAAATCACAGAAACGTTCAACTTTCAGTCGATCAAACATCACACTGTAAGAACAAGAAGAAAACTATTTTTTTTGAGCGGAGAGGGACTTTAAAAAAAAAAGGTTTGTGTCTAATTGGGTAATGAATGACTGTTGGAGAATGTATGTGTGTCTCATCTCTATACCGCACACAGCCACATGAGAAGTATGCATGCCAGTGTATTCAGTCTGGGCAATGGCTCTCAGGGCTGATTTCACATGAACAATGATGATGAAAAAATGTAAATGCCCACATTTACAGTAATTGGTCTGGGAGACACTGTCTGCATTGTGTTTTTTGTGATGCAAATGGTTTAAATTTGGGGTTGCCTATAAAGTTGGGCAGGGGAGATTGCCATACATACTTCCATGTCATTATCTCCTCCCTCCTTTACCTTTTCAATGGAAATCAGTCGATTCTACAAGCAGCATGCGGGGCAGGTTTGCATGTAAATCATAGCAGTGGGGGAATGTCCCTCCTCTGATCTCCTGTGCGTCTCTAATACACGTCTTCCAATGAACATATGATAATGGAGCTTGGTTACACGCCTGTAATTGGCTATTCATTGGAATAAATCTGACATCAAGTCTTGTCATGTCTAAACCGTGTCCAGCACGAAAGAGAAAGAAAATGTAAAATACAAACTTGATGTCAGAGTTTAAAGAACTTTTTCAGACAGAACTTATTGTTTTAAATGTCTACACTGGATATATGTAATACAGTTTTATTTTTAGCACAAATTGGTATATTAAAATAAAACCAAACTACTTATTAAATAAAGCAAACATGAAATATCCCAAAAAAATTAAAGGAATAAATAAAAGCCATGATTTTAAGTATATAAAAAATGTGTTGTGTAGGTTAAAAGATATTTAAATGTAAAGTTTTAGGTTTTAAGAAGTGACATTTATCACGTAAATTATTAGTTATTGATAATACATTCCATAACATAATAACTTTTATATTTATATACAAATTTTAACTTGAGTTTAAACAATTTATATTTATTCTAAGCAATTTGTTTTTATTATTAATTGTCATGATTACATGTTGTAAATTGACTAGAAGAGTTTCAGAATATTTGTTTGTCTTTAGCTGTGAAATTAACCAAAGGTAAACCCTGAGATGATGACGACGATGATGATCTGTTTAATTCCCCACAGGCCTATTTCCAAAATAAAAAAAAAAGTTTGCCATCTCGTAGCCCACATGGCTACATCACGCCTGTTGTGGGGCATGGAGCCCACTTGCAAACGACCACCCGAGCAGAGGAGTCCCCACCCCCGCCCCCTTGCCACAGATCAAGCCACCGGGCCTTGAACCTGACCCCCGAGGACCATCTAGGGCGAGCTTGTCACATTGCATCCCCGCTGGCGCATTGTTTCCGCAGGAGTCTCTCAATGGTTTGAGGGAGATAGATAGTGTGGCCGTCCATCCAATAAAACCTCCTCTCTCCCCTCTCCGATCCCCGCGGTGCTCCCGGGTCTGACACAGGAGACAAAACCCGCGGAGAGGACTATGAATGGTAAAGCACCGAGGAGGCCGAGGGAGAGCAAAAAGGAGGCGGTGAGCCTTTGTAGTCGGCGAGGAATGCGGAAATGTCCCCGCTCCGTGTCAAACCTCTCTGAAGGGGGTCAGGCCACATTCAGCCGGCGTGGGAAAGCCAGGCAGAGACGGAGCTCACACAGGCGGAGCGGGGCTGCAGTTGCATAGTCCCTATCCGGGGATATATGGAAGAGAAAGAAAACACAAAAAAAAAAAACAACAAAAAAAAACGAAGAAGAAAGGAAGGAGAAAATCCCAAGAAGAGCGTGGTTTTTCTGGAGGGCTGCATCACGCGTTTTTGCCTTTGTCCTATGACACCCC